AACAGGCAGAGAAGAGAGGAGGAGCAAAGGAGAGATTGGCACCAGAAGAATGGCAGCAGTTTAGGTTTGGAATTCACAAAGCAAAGCTTCATAACTAACTTAACCATACGAAAAAAAAAAATTTCCCAACACTTGTAACGCAGGGCCGAGGCTATCACATGAGACCAGGCCAGCACATGTCTGCCAGGAAGGGCACCGTGCGGCAGACCCAGAACAGTCACCAGTCCTATATGAGTGTCCCACCTGTTGAGAGGGACCAGGGTTCTGTGCAACCCATGAAGCGCACCCAGAGACCCACCCTCTTCCACATGCATCCTTTTCCCTCCTTGCGCTCCTCGCCTTCTCGGAGGCCTGCACCTTTCAGAACCAGAACCGGACCGTCTGCAGCTCACTTCTCTTTCTGTGCCATCACCCATCTTTCCCACAATCTCTGATTGTGTTTCCGGGTGAACCATCTCCACCAGCAGCAAGGTGGGTGGAATACATCGGGGAGGAGGCAGCAGGAACCCCCCCACCCCACCCCACCCCCCAAGTCCTGCCTTCAGAGAATCTCTTGAGGGAACTTGAAAGGCAAGGAAGGCCTGACTGTCCTGAGGCTCTGTGTCCGCCCTGCCCGGGGACCTGCTTCGACAGCTGTGGACCATCTCTGGCAGCTCGCAGGGGTCAAGGATGCTCTGGTGCTCAGGCCTCCCCGGGAAGGGGAAGCCGCCTGTCAGGCCAGGCCCTCCCCCTGTGCTCACCGGGGGCCCAGCCCGTGTGCTGTGTTAAGACATTTCATTTTATTGTATCCTTGGCACCCAATAAGAGAGGTGCAAATCTGATCCCATTTACAACTCAAGCAAGTGAGGCTCCGAGGGCCAGGTCCCTCGTCCCGGGCACGCGGCCCAGCTGGGACTGTAATTCGCGCGGCCTCACAGCAGGGGAGGGGGGCTCGTTGGGGGGTTCTCTCTGCAAAGCCTCCCGGCGACCCCCCCTGGCTCCACATTCGGGGACGCGTCCCTGACACCGCGTCTGGAAATAAGCTTCTGGTGGCGAGCGTGGCGCGGCGGGACCCCGAGGGCGCCCCGGGGGAGGAAGGCGGCGGAATCGGCCCCGAGACAAGAGCCAGCGAACTTCAGAGCGCTTGGCCTCCCCGGAGAGGCAGACGCGGACACGTCTGTGTCTCGCCGACAAGTGCCTTCAAGCCCGGCGGGGCAGACACCTCCGCGCCCGCGGCCGCCGGCGAGGTCTCTGCGGGCTGCGGGCCCGGCCTCGCCTCAGCTGCGCGGACTTGAGTGCGTTCGCGGGCGGCCCAGAGGGGGCGGCCTCCCCGGCGGGAGGGCGGGCGGCGCGGCTGCCCGAGCCTGGGGCGGGGGACTGTGTGACTGGGCGGCCCCGCGGAGGGGGAGGGGAAGGCAGGGGAGGGGAGGGGAGAGCTATAAATGATTTTC